AGGCTCCGAGCCATCAGCCTAGAGCCTGACGCGGGGCTCGAACTCACGGACCGTGAGATCGTGACCTGGTTGAAGTCGGACGCTTAACCGACTGCGCCACCCAGGCGCCCCGGTCAATTTCTTTAACAGACTGTTTTTCCTGTTTTTAAGTATTATGTCAGTATATGCAATCAGGAACGAAGCATTTTCTGTTTGTCCTCTATAGACTCTGGAGCAACAATCAGTAAAAATTATGATTTAAGTGACCTGCCAGGGCCACCATCCAAACCACAGGTCACTGATGTTACTAAGAACAGTGTCACCTTGTCCTGGCAACCAGGTACCCCTGGAGCCTTTCCAGCAAGTGCATATATCATTGAGGCTTTCAGGTATGGGACACTTCCTTTTCTTTTCTCCATGGGTTTTTGCTTTAGTTCCTATATCCTAAAATCTCATGTGAGCTATCCTGCTGTTTTATCTTAAGAACATGTTTAACAGTGCATTTTCAGTACTTATCTTTTATATCTGATTTTATTCAAGGATATACTCTAGTTTGTTGTTGTTGTTGTTGTTATTCTTTCATTTATAAGTTGATTATAGGATTAAATTATGCATTACCCGTGCCTAAGCCTATGGGGATCTAGCTCATGACATAATCATATAGATCCCTTCTTTACCTTGACCATTGTAAAGATTTAAGATGAGATTTTTGTCATGAGAACTAGGCAGAAAGTAATTCAATTGGGCACAGACATTTTTAAGTTCTCCAATATTTATTGAGGCATGGAACCCTGGAAACTTGCTTCCTAATAATTAAAGCAGAACTTAAAGTCATTCCATTGTTTTTATGCTCTATATTTTAATACATTAATTGGATATGCCTTAAAAATGAAAAACTACAGCTACGGAATTGATTCCATGTACTTCTGGTTGCTAAAACAAAGATATGCCCAGTTGCTATTTGAAAAAAAAATTTCATCAACGTAAGGATATAGACTATAAATTAGCAAATGTCATGATAAAATCACCATGAAAATTTAATAAAATATTTATACAAATGAGAAAATGAAGTTTGCATTGTTTCAGTGTGCTTTGATTTGCCTTTATAAAGATAGTGATAGCCACTGTCATTTTCAAGCATTAGGACAAATCATTACTTTCATTTTAGGCTTCCCTAATCTATTTAAGGTAATGATCAATAAATATGTCATGTCCAACTTTCAAAATACTATTTTTCTATAATTTTCATGCTTTAATATATAAGAACTGCTGAAAAGTAAATGGTCGGCCCTGAAAAATCACAATTTTCTTCTCGTTATGAACAAAAACAGCATTTGTCTCTAGACAAAGTTTTCTAAATGGGCATCCCATCTGTAAGTGGCTGCTAAGGGGTTTCCACACATATTTTCAGAGGTATTTCACCATTTGAAGATGAGAAATCACAGTACTATGTAATGTACAATTTTATTAAAAATGTGACCAAGGGAAAATATTCCTTACGTGCTTCCTTTCTTCTTTTACAGATATGTAGTTTTAGAAGGCTCTATTATAATATTGCATGTGGAATTGATGCAAAAGAAAACACACCTTGTAACAGGAAAATGTATTGGCATAATTTACTCTGTAGTCCATTTATTCTTTCTACAGGTTAATTCTTTTCAAGGTATATATATATATACATTTACGAGGACCATATTTATTGTATAAACTTGATGTTGTGATCTTGGCCTCTGTTCCTTTTACAGGTATTCATTTAGTGGGCTGCTGTGCATTAGCAAAGTGCTGTCACATCTCCTGGGCTGAGTTTAATTTTGTTGTGCATGGCACTTCCGTTAGGTGGGCTCGGCTTTGTTGTTGAATAAACAGAAATCATCCAAATGTTTCATTTATTGGGCTTAACACTTCAAGTGTTGTGCGTGTGTGTGTTTAATTTTCAGCCATTAACTTTTGTCATTGATGCCCAACTCCATTTCCGATACCTTTAAGACAGTTCTTTAAATGAAAGTCCTATTCATGTTTCAGCCAATCCGTGAGCAACAGCTGGCAGACAGTGGCAAACCATGTGAAGACCACCCTCTTTACAGTGAGAGGCCTGCGGCCCAACACAATCTATTTATTCATGGTCAGAGCAATCAACCCCCAAGGTCTGAGCGACCCGAGCCCGATGTCAGATCCTGTGCGCACACAAGGTAATTTCAATAGCTGTAAACATGACTGGTTCTGGAAGGAGGCATTAAGCAGATCTTTGAGAACAAAGGGATTGTGTGAGGAAAGATACGTGTGTCTGATCACTTATTACAATGATTCATTAGACCTGATCCAGGGAAGGAGAAAGGAACTTGGTGTTCACCTTGGTGAGTGTGTCCTCTTCTGGGAATTGTCAGGGTCTGTTTAGTAAAAGATAAACAAAATAATTGGGTCCATATACATAGTAAGAGTAAATCACCTAAGTTAGGGCTTTACCATATTTCAAAGGGAGGAAACGTGCCGCCTTCGAAACTAATTTTGCAATAGCAAAAACTGATCTTTAATGGATACAATGCCCAGATAGGGATATCATCATTACTCGTAGTGTTCAAGAATTCTGTTTTTAGTGCAGAGAGTCTCCAGGTGTAGTTCCTACAGAAGCAGTATCTGCATCACCTAGGACCATGTTAGAAAGGCAGACTCTGGATCCGCAGTTCAGAAGGTCTGGGGGTGCAGCCCCGCAGTCTGTGGTAAGGTGCTCTCCAGGTGATGTTTGGTCAAGTTTGACAAGCATCCCTATAGTGTCTTTTATCAGATGGTTAAAGGAGCAATTTGTTTCAGAAAGGAGTAAATCAAGTTTTCTTTGTGAGGTATGTGATTCTTTTGGCTAATAAAAAAAATATTTAAAGAACAAAACAAAACAAACAAGCAAAGGAAAGAAAAAAGAGAGAGGGAGGCCAACCAAGAAACAGATTCAACTATAGAGAATAACCTGATGGTTACCGAAGGGAAGCTAGGTCGGGGGATGGGTAAACGAGCTGATGGGGATATAGGAATGCACCTGCTGTGATGAGCACCAGGTGTTGTATAGGAAGTGTTGAATCGCTATACGGTACACCAGAAACTAATATACATTGTATGTTAACTAATTGGAATTTAAATAAAAACTCAAAAAAAAAAAAAACCACCCAGCATATTATAATCTCAAAACTGAAGTTTTTCTTCTAATCTTTATTACCCTGTCTCTTCAAATTAAGATGTCATGAAGTCTAGGGGTTAATACAGGATGTTGCATTACAATTTCCCTTCCTACTAGTAGTAGCTGGAAATAATAAAGCAGACATTATGGCTTTATTATTTGTTACAACCTGCTTCCCACAGGGTTCTTGAGAAAGGGTTAATTATTTCTTATTTGTAAAAGGTTTTGAACAGGATATAATTCAAAGTAGTATTTTTATGCAATGAAAAGCACCATACAGCCATAAAAATATTATTATAATTACAATGTAGTTCAGTGATAGTAACTAGCGTGCTATTATAACAGAGAAGGGCGCCAAGAAATCAAGTGAAATAAAGTCACCACGTGATTTTGTAACGTTGCTGACATGATGACAGTCAAGGGAGGAGGGAATGCCACTTTGCTATTGTTCTCTAAGCAGGAATGTGATTAATTTTCCATGATGATAAAGGGCCTGTAGGTAAAGAACCTGTCTCTAGAGAAAGAAAAAGTACAACAAGGAATTTGAAGATCTGAAACTGGTTATATTTCACCTTCCTTAGATCCAGTCTCCTTTAGTGTGTCTGGATTTAATGAGTAAATTAAATTATTGAACTTGAAGACATATATGGTTTTCACTCAAGAAATTACAGTAACAAGGTCATTTTTACTAGTGTTGAGAGAAAGAGTCAGTTTTTGTGTGCAGTTGCAGTGAAAGGTGGAAGATAACAGGATGGGGGAGACTCTTGCTGTGATTATATCCGGCAGACCTTCTTGATCATTCCATAACTGCCAGACACTAAATCTTGACTCATAAAATAACTTCTTGGTGAAAAGGTCACAAAAGATTAATGAAAAGTTGTTTGTGATCTGGCTTGTTCCAGTTGAGAGACTACATAGAGCAAAAGACTTATGTTCTCTTAACAGATATTTAATAGGAAAACTCATGTTTTGTGTCTGAATGGCAGGATCATTTTTTGACATCATACTTTTAGCAGCTTTGCATTCAGCAAAGCACTTCTTTTCAAAGAATACTTTGCTGTGTGAGCTCTTATTTTTAAAATATTAAAGATATTCACATCGTTCTTAAAGATATTAAAGATGCTTTTAAATATACTTAAAGATACTAAGTACCATAGAACTTAGAAATCTTTTATTTTAGAAAGGCAGCAAATACTTGTCCTATCAATATCACAGGAGACCATAGATATGACAGCAAAGGTCAATATTATTCATATAATATTATTAATATGTTTTTTTTCCTAAATGAAGTAAAACTAGTTATGCTATTTATGTTAAGGATGAAAAACACTGGAACTGGGGAGAAAATCATCAAAGTGTAGTTCCCAAATATTAATGTCCTGGTTTTTTCACTCATTTTTTTTTATTATTTACATTTACATATTCCAGATAATAGCAGCAAATATATATCCTGAGTCATGAGATAAGTTTGTGCTTTACTCAGATTGGTACAGAAGGTTGGAAAACAACAGAAGAGTTCTAAGATATTTTAATCCTGTTTTAATTATAATCAAGTTTGTAAATTATTAATATAAATTCCAAATACTAATAAAGGCAACACTTTAATTATATACCAAATGCTAATGCAAAATTAATGCATTCTTCCAAGTCATACTAAGATCCTTGAGAATTTTATTTTCTTTTTTGAATTTTTTTGAGTATAGTTGACACACAATGTTACATTAGTTTCAGGTGTACGACATAGTGAGCCATCATCTCTGTATTATGCTATGCTCACCACGAGAGTAGCTACCCATCTGTCACCATACAGCACTATCATAACATCATTGACTATGTTCCCTATTCTGTGGCTTAAAAATATATATTAATTTATTTTAAAATTTGAACATAATTAGCATTCAGTGTTATATTAGTTTTACGTATACAATATTATGATTCAATAATTCTATACATTACTCATCGCTCATCAAAATATGTGTACTCATTCCCCTTCACCAATTTCATCCGTATCCCCCTCCCATCTGGCAACCACCAATTTGTTTTCTGGTGGTTATGTGCCCTATGCTATAGCTTTTATTCCATGACTTACTCGTTTAATAACTAAAGCCTGTACCTCCCACTCCCCGCCACCCATTTTGCCTATAACCCTCACCCCCTTCACTATTGATGTCCCAATTTAAGTTAGTGTACCCAATTTAAGTTATGACTGAGATATGCACTTAAAATATTTTTGCAAGAGTGTTGTATTGTGGCCTGAGAAAATAGGAGAAAACAGGATTAAAAATGAATTATTTCAAATTAGACTCCTTCCTTGAAAGAGAGTTGGAAAAAAAAAAAAAAGAAACAAAAAGAAAATAGTTGGAGAAAAAACAATTCAACTTAATATTGCTGTGCACCAGTTAAAGCAGTTGATTTGAGTATGTGTGAAATTTAGTCTGTGATATCAATTCGATGAATTGAATGTCTGTAATTTATCTTAGTTTTTTTCTTAATGGCACATAGGATATAAACCATTGTATGGAACGATAGAGCAGTATTATATGAATGATGGATACAGGGCCAAACAATATATGGCTGAGAGTATATCATTCTAAATATTGCAGTGATTTTTCCCTCTCCTCTCTCTTATCACTTCCAAAAAGCAGCTGAATTCCTTTTTTATTTGTCAGATATTGAAGTCCTGCTCAAAGTTTATTACTCTAGAACAGTTTATCAGTATTCTACTTTTTTCAGTCAAAATATTTCTGTGAATTTGGAGGGTGAGGGGCATTTTCCCTTCTTTCACTCACTTTGTTAACCATTGGTGACATAATTCACTTCTCAGTTTCCCCTGATTATGTTATTTCCATGCTTCCAGTCTAGAATAGGTCAAGGAGTAAGAACACACAGTCTTCCAATTGGGACAAGGGATTAAACAAATTCCTAAACAGCAGTTTTCAGATATTGCTCCGTTAACTACTCAGGAAAGTCTTTCCATATGCCAGCGTCTATAGAAAACTCATGTTCCTAAAGAAGTCTTATGGCATATACTTTATTCCTTAATAAGCAAATAATAGATCTTCCACAACAATGTATTTGAAGGGAGTAAGAGATTATGAACACTTTTATTAGTATTGTTTCAGGAAAGATAAATATCATCTCTCAAATTATGTCCTAGCCCCTGGGTGGTATGTATGTAAATATGCTCTAATGTTGTTGTTGTTGTTGTGGTGTTTGTCAATAAAGGTTTCAATTTTTTCCTCTGCAATTATTGACCTGATGACCTATAATATTGTCTTATACAATACAAATTGGAATTCTACGATGAATTTTTAACTATTGGGAATGGTTATCTCTGTAGATATCAGCCCACCAGCACAAGGAGTGGACCATAGACAAGTACAGAAAGAACTGGGAGATGTCATTGTCCGTCTCCATACTCCAGTTGTGTTGACTCCCACCACTGTTCAAGTCACGTGGACGGTAAGTTTCAAAGGCAGTATTAATGGCACTTTCTTTTATTCCTTTGAGAAAACAAATCAAACAAGGAAAATATGACTCAACACACAAATAGTAATAGAAGCCCTCATCATTTAAATCAAGGTGGAATCAATGGCAAAAAAGAAAAATATTCAATAGAATGGAAGAGTAAGATAGTTTGCAATAGAACTATGATGTGTTTCATCTTATTTTTTAAAAGCTTTACTGAGAGGGGCACCTGGGTAGCTCAGTCGGTTAAGCGTCCGACTTCGGCTCAGGTCATGATCTCGCGGTCCGTGAGTTCGAGCCCCGCGTCAGGCTCTGTGCTGACAGCTCAGAGCCTGGAGCCTGTTTCAGATTCTGTGTCTCCCTCTTTCTCTGACCCTCCCCTGTTCATGCTCTCTCTCTCCCTGTCTCAAAAATAAATAAACGTTAAAAAAAATAAATAAATAAAAGCTTTACTGAGATATAATTAACCTATCAGAGTTAGGGTGTGCAGCTCTGTTTTCACTCTATTTACAGAATTGTGCAATCATCCTCAAAATCTGACTTTAGGACATTTCATCATCTGAAAATAGAAAGAACTCTGTGTTCATTGGGAGTGCCTCCTCCGTTCCCCCTGCTTTAGCTCTTTGCAAGCACCAATCTACTCTCTGCCTCTGTAGACGTGCCGGTTCCTCTCATATGAATGAAATCAGGCAATGTGTAGTCTTTCGTGTCCTGCTTCTTTCACTCAGTGTCAGGTTTTCCAGGTTCAAACATGTTGTAATATATGTATCAGTACTTTGTTCCTTTCCATCACACAGATACATCAAATACTCTGTTTATTCATCGCCTGATGCACCTTTCAGTTGTTTCCATTTGGGGCTACTATGAACGAGGGGGCCATAAACATTTGAGTACATGTTGACATATGTTTTCATTTCTCTCATGTGTTTTAATTTCTCTTGGTATCTACCTAGGAATTGCTGAGTAAAATGATACCTCTGTAACATTTGGATCAACCGCCAAAATGTTTTCACAAGTGGTTGTACCATTTTGTTTTCACCAGCAATGCTTGAAAGTTCGTTTCTTCCACATGCTCACCAATTTCTCTCACAACTTCCTCAACACTTGTTATCTTCTATTTTATTATAACCATTCTAATAGGTGTAAGTGGAATATCTTTGTGGTTTTGACTTGCATTTCTTTAATAACTAATGATGTTTTCCATCTTTTCATGTGCTTGAACATTTGTATATCTTCTTTACAGAAATGTCTGTTCAAATTCCTTGCTCATTTTTAAGTTGGGTTGTTTGTCCTTATTTTAGACTTGTGCTTGTTATATATTGGATACAAACCACTTATCAGATATATTATTTGTAAATGTTTTTTGTCCATAAATATTTTTTCTGTGGGTTGGTTTTGACTTTCTTAGTGGTGTCATTTGAAGCACAAAAATTTTTAATTTGACCGAGTTACTTTCTGAATTTAAATAAATCATCTGTAAATTCTTTTAGCCGAATCTCAAGTAGCAGCACCAAAACATGAATATGATTTTAATAATTGGACATATATAGTAAGAAACTAATGGATTTTAAGAAGCAAGTTGATATGTTAGTATAAGTTAGGAATATTCAATTCCATCATTGTTAAATGTCAACCTACCCACTGTTATATAAAATGCAAAATGTTTTGATCACTTGGTAGCCACTAGAGTAAAAACAACAAATAGCATAAAAATAGCCACATTAGTCATATTAGAGAATACTAACATTTGTGTATATGTGTTTGTATCTATGTATGTGTCTGTGTTTTGAGAAGAGCCAGATAATGTTCTTCCCTGTGCATAACATAGTTAGTGCCAACGTCTTATTTATATCTAAGATTTCTCTATTATAACCTCTAAAAATCCATAATATATCAGGATGTTAGAAGACCACAACTTCTTTAAGCCCTCTATGTCTGTGATAGATCTTGTGTATTGTATAAGTAATGGACATTTGAGTTACAGATACTTACAAAATTTTTACTTTAATTTTGATATTAACTGGGAGACTACAATTTTGTCACTATTATTGCTCTTTTGTTGTAGTAAAAGAATGACTAAGTAAGAAGAAATTGGATTTTCACCATCCGCTTTTAGAGTCCATGTTTCTTTAGGGAAATAACCGTTTATCAACTCCATCAAAAAGGGAGCTGAGAAAGGAAAACTGGTTATGTTTCATCAGTTCTTAATTATATTTGAAGTATAAAGTAACATTAAAGAGAATTATTCCAGTGTCCCCTCAGTAATAAATCCATTGAACAAATCCAACTCAACAAACATTTTTTGTGGGCCAATTTTATACTAGATCTGGTGGAGAACTATCAAAAAAACACAAATCTACTTGAGAAAAACATGGAAATTCTTAATGACAATAGACAGGGATAAGAGCCATAACAGGCATATATGTACCCTATAGAGAGGTTTCAATCAAAGAAGAAGTGATTAACTCTATCTTCAGGCACCAGAAAAGGCATCACCACTTACTTTCAAAACCCAAAATGACATTTAAGGCTGGCTAGTGTACTTCTATAACTTTATAAAAGGAAGCCAGTGTATTCAGGTTGAACAATATTCCCAATATCCCACACCTGTAAAAATAGGATTAGAATTTATTTACTTTAAATATACTTTTGTGTGTGTATGTGTGTATGTGTGTGTGTGTGTGTTTTTACTTTAAAGATAAACTGTAGACAAATATATATTCAGAAGGCCTACCTTTTAATGGTGGAATTGATTTGGCATCAGGTCCTAGATGGGGACATTTTGTTACTTCTTAAGCCAGATCACATGATCAAAATTTTGGCCTATGGGTACAAAAGTGGATAACACTTCAACAACAATAAAACTAAGTATGTAATAATTATTTAAGACTACATTGTTTCTGATTCCATTTTTAACATTATTTTGCATAGACTTATCCTGTTTTCTGTGTATAATGATTTCTTTTCTTCTACTCCCATGGAAGGAACATAATGACCTCATCATTTTTCCAGTGACACAGGAAGGGTAGTATCTGACATGCCTCTTCCATCTCTCTGTAACTTTGGCCAAATATAAAACTAGAAAGCCAAGCAAATAGTTGTATTTTTAAAGCAGATTTTTCTTCAATCTCAATTGAGAAAGTCTCAGCTCTGTGGGGAGTTTTGAAAGGACTTCTTTTAAGCTGCTTCTAAATGTGGAAATTATTTGAGTAAGAATCAAAGTCATTATGTTTATGAAGTTAATCACTTTAAAAGTCACTGAGTTTAAAAGAATAAATCAAATTAGATCAAAATTGCAGGTCTGTAGTCTGGGAGTTCTTCCAGGAGAGGAACCTTGTCATATTCATCTCTGTGTCCCACGAAGCTTGTCATTATTAGTTTGCATATCTTTCTCTCTCATGAGTTTGGCTTCTGTGAGTCTGGAGTCCATGTTTTTCATTTTTGTGAAATGATGCAGAGCATCTATTACAGAATGCCCTTTCAATTACTGTCTGTTGAATGATCAGATCAGTTGTTTAAATACATTTTTATTTTTGTTTTAAAAAAGAAAGTGTTCAGTTATATCACAGGGTATTGTTCCCCACGAATCAGTAGTTACACATGAGGTAAGTGTGTATCTGAGAGGTAACTTTAGTGAAATAAAGTCAGAATGGGGGAGGGGTCAGTTGCTAAAGAAATTATAGCCAAATGTTTTACTTCCATGTCATATTTTCAACTGCTAAATGTATACGTTCTTTAAATTATTACACTGCGTGGATCCTGAGAAACTTAACAGAAGACCATGGGGGAGGGGAAGGGGAAAAAAAATTAGAAAGGGAGAGAGCCAAACCATAAGAGACTCTTAAAAACTGGGAATGAACTGAGGGTTGATGGGGGGTGGGAGGGAGGGGGGGTGGGTGATGGGCATTGAGGAGGGCACCTGTTGGGATGAGCACTGGGTGTTGTATGGAAACCAATTTGACAATAAATTTCATGTTAAAAAATAAATAAATAAAAATAAATAAATAAATTATTACACTGTTAGTATCTGAATTACAGATGTGATATTAGAGAAGAGAAATATATCCCCCAACCCATGTATTTAGATTTGGAGGCCAGCTGACGTGGTTTACCAAGGCTAATCTTGAAGTAACAGTAGTTAGTAATGGGTGCTTTCTAAAGATGACTGCTCTTATAATGAGGGTAGGCAAAAATTGTAAGAAAATGAATGTTTCACAAAGAAAATAGCAATAAATCTCTTATTTCATAAACAGTTATTCGTGTGTGTGTGTGTGTGTCTGTCTGTCTGTCTTGTTTTTGTTCAAGGACAAAAAGAACACAGATCCTTTGCCCTTTAAACATCACAGCTGCTGAAATTGAAAGTGTGCATTGGCAAACTAGAATTTCAGATCTCAGCTTAATCCAGATCAGCCACTTAGCAGGCTTAGCTCACGAAAGAAAATTCACTTTGAATTTTCAATTGAGATGGATTTTTTTTTAATTGAAAAGATGGTGGTAAGCATCTCACTTAAACATTTATGGGCATGCTGATTTGAGGGTCACATATGGACCTTTTTTTGTCTTTACCATATCCCTAACTTAACAAGGGTGCTCTGTCATTGTGCATCCCTACAACTTACAAAATTCTTTAACTTATAATAGCCACTTAATTGTATCTGGACCCATGTAATATGAATATTATTTGAGCAAATTAAGAAAACTGAGGCTCAACTGGGTGTTGTATGTAAGTGATGAATCACGGGAATCTACTCCCAAAGCCAAGAGCACACTATATGCACTGTATGTTAGCTAACTTGACAATAAGTTATATAAAAAATAAATAAATAAAACAATAGTTATCTCTAAAAAAAAAAAAGAAAAGAAAACTGAGGCTTAGAAAATTTAAAAGGCTGAACTGTAGCTCATTTGGGACCTTCCTTGGAAGATGGAAACTTGCTTCATCCTTTGCCTTTTTCCTGAAGACAACGCTTTTTTATTCCTGCTTCAGAAAATACAAATTTTTAAAATTCTGTAAACCCATGGTTTTGTGGCCGGACTCTGATTATCATCAACTCTAAAGAAAATCTTCCTTCTTATAAACAGAATTTTAATAAAATCAGTGACAAGCATATGGTTTAACTTGAAAATGACCACCTGTCAAAATGTGCTCTAAAAGTCAGTGGTACAGAACACATATCCAATACAAATCCCACCTAGTTTTTGAAAGGTAATGTTCGGCATCTTCATTTCTGCTTCCACCTGTAACAACAAATTTTCTTCTGAAAAGAATATTGCAACTGCACAAAACCAAGTTAAACTATTCAGTTATTAAGCAAGCCATGAGAATATACTGGTTAAACGCAATGTACACTGAAGTGAGCAAGGCGATGCTGTGTAGTAAACATTAGCTTCATAAAGTCCCTAAAACACTTAATTAATGAAAACCAAACATGGATAAAACCAATTTACCCTGATTTACACACTCTCTTCATCTGGAAACAGCTGCTTAATGTTCTTCCTAAAAACACAGCTTGCTTCTTTCAGTATTAACAAGCTATTATTGTGAGTTATGTCTTTCTTTCAGTATATAAATTCACTTAAAGCGAATGCAGAGAAGTTTATAAAATGCCAGCTTAATGTTGTTTTAACATATGCTGCAAGGAATTTTTGAACATTGACAGTTTTGATTAAAGACATCTCTCTTTGGCTCTCATCAATTTAACTTTTGCTTTTGAGTTGCCTTGTTTGTAGTGTCAGAACAACTTCTGCGCTTCAAAAATTATGCCTGTTGGTAAAAACACCAAGCATGGATAAAGATTCAAAGATCATGAGCTTTGGCATCAGAGCTGGGATAACTTTTCTTGACATAATCTCATATGAGTATAGCACTAATTCCAGAAAGTCTTTGAGGGTTAGATGGAGGTGGATGAAGGAAGTTGTTAAGACTTAGCTAGACATAGAAACACATATGTTCAGCCCACCGGCTTCATGGATTCTCTAGCTTGGACGTTCTAAATATAGAAAAATGCCCCTTTGTTCCACTATATTTTGATTGAGGTTCTGTGTTTTAAAATTTTCTGCTTTCACTTAAAGATAATTGTTAAATGCAGCAACTAAAAAATAAATGTTAGAAGTTAATACATAAGGGAATACCTTTTATTCATGTGTTAATAGTTGGATGAAGAAGTTTTTAAAAAGTTGAAATAACCATTTTCCTTCTCATCTTCTCTATTTCTTCTCTCTCAACTTTTCCTGAAATGAGGTCCTTCCATCTCTTCTCCATTAAGTTTTATACTTTATTTGACAGTGAAATATGTCAAGTTAAAGGCTTCTTAGAATATGGCTATTAAACTATAATCTATGGAAAATTAATTGAAGAAGGTGCTGTGATAGTTATTTTTAAACCAAGCAATTCTTAAATTTATTTTTTTTCAACGTTTATTTATTTTTGGGACAGAGAGAGACAGAGCATGAACGGGGGAGGGGCAGAGAGAGAGGGAGACACAGAATCGGAAACAGGCTCCAGACTCTGAGCCATCAGCCCAGAGCCCGACGCGGGGCTCGAACTCACGGACTGCGAGATCGTGACCTGGCTGAAGTTGGACGCTCAACCGACTGCGCCACCCAGGCGCCCCGAAACCAAGCAATTCTTATAAAAAATGTCATTAAAAATATTTAAAAAGCTAAAAATCCTCTTCTCCCTGAAAATGAAACAATGGTGAAACTCCAATAGAGAGTTATCAAATTGTGCCAATAGTGGGTCTATTCAAGGGTTTAATTCAAGGAATTAAAGTCTTTCATTTAATAATTTGCTAGTGGATAAGAGTTTTTCATATGCCTTTTTAAAGTTTATTTATTTTGAGAGAGAGGGAGAGGAAATGAAAACAGAAGAGGGGCAGAGAGAAAGAGGGGATCAATCAAGATTCCACATTTGTCAGCACAGAGCTCTATGCAGGGCTCGATCCCACAAACTGTGAGATCATGACCTGAGCCTAAATTGAGAGTCAGTCACTCAACTGACTGAGCCAATCAGATGCCCCTTCATATTCCTTTAAAACAGATGCTCTAGCTTCACAATTCCCAGTCTTCTCATATACTTCCTCCAGCCATAGGAATGTTTGTTTGCTTGTTGTTTTAGAGAGAAAGAGAGAGAGCATGTGCATGAGCAGGCAGAGGGAGGGAGAGAGAAAAGAGAGAGAGAGAGAGAGAGAGAGAGAGAGAGAGAATCTTAGGCAGGCACCACACTTAGCATGGAGTCTGATGCAGCGCTCGAACCCGCGCCCCTGGAGTCATATCCTGACCTCAAATGAAGAGTTGGATGCTAAACCTACTGAGCCACCCAGGCAGCCCACCATAGAAATTTTATACATGCTGTTTCTACACTTCTTCCTCAGGAATAATTGATCCTACTTTCCTTGCAGATCCCAGCACTTGCTCTTTTTCAGGGAAATGCTTTCTCACCTTCCTGATTCTGTCAACTTCTTCTCTACTCCAGGTTTTCCTAGCTCCTTGTCCATCTCATTCACAGCATTTTTTAATGTGTATTAGTTATAAATGTAGTTTGACCAGTAACTTGATTAGTAGGAGTTCAAGAAAGGTTTTGAGTGAGTAAAGACGTTAGTGAATGGACAAAAGATAAGAATGGAAATTCCTGAGAAGCAGCACATTACATATCCATTCATAACAATGGGAACTGTTGAATATAGGAAGAGGATGGACAGATGAGAAATGAAGCTAGACAAATCAGCAGGTCTGGGCTTTATCAGACCTTTGTGCTACTTTAAGGAATTTGAATTAACTAAGTAGATATCTTAGATACTATGGAGTAGTTTAAACAGGAGAGAGAGTTGTTCCACTCTTCATTTTGGGAATAATAACTTGAGGGCCATGTGAATTCAGAACTGGAATTGGATACAAGAAGCAGGAAGATAAATTACCAAGCAGTGGTGTCACCCAGATGAGAGTTGAAGACTGAAATAGGTACAAGAGAAATGAGGATGGGTTCATTGTCATATCTAAAATGTTTCCATTTGGTTTTATGCTGTGTTTTTCAGGTTGATCGCCAGCCCCAGTTTATTCAAGGCTATCGAGTGATGTATCGTCAGACTTCAGGCCTGCAGGCTACATCAGCATGGCAGAATTTAGATGCCAAAGTCCCAACCGAGAGAAGCGCTGTCTTAGTCAACCTGAAAAAGGGGGTGACTTACGAGATTAAAGTTCGACCATATTTTAATGAGTTCCAAGGAATGGATAGTGAATCTAAAATAGTTCGTACTACTGAAGAAGGTCAGTTTTCAGATTTCTAACAAAAGGCAAACTTAAAACATAACGAAGCCAATTTCTGTTGAAGTTCTAATTTATCACCTACCTTAGAAGAATATCAAGAGAGGATATAAAAAGTGAATTCAGGAAGTGTCATTTTCTCCTTTTTCTGAGAATCACATACATTCTGAGAGATTTTTAAAAATGGCATTTAAGTAATGTGAATTTTTCTTCAGTAAACATTTACTCCAAAGTTTGTCAGTACAATGGAATTTGATTATGATATTGTCCCATATTATTTTTCTTAATATGGATTGAGCTCATTTGGCTTCATTAAGGGACAGGCTACTAGAAACTCAAGAACACAGGCTATTCATTGTCTTCTTTTTTCTGACGTACCAGAGCATTACATTGTTTTTGTATTGTTTGTTTGTATGTTCTGTTTTGTTTTGTTTTTTATAAGCCTCCTTCCCTGTGGGCTCTGCCAGTCTGACTTCTCATTCAGAAGGCCACTTGCATGTTTGCAATAGCATTCTTATTAGTGACTTTCCCTCCCCCTCCCCCATTTAGAAATTGTCTTGCACACAGATACTTTAAAGTCAATCTGTGATGGACGTGAAATTAACGTGGTTTTGAATCAGTAATTTACCAGTGTCCCCTTCACTAAACGAGAGGCTTATAATATATGGTACTATCAAAGTACAAAAAGTCGGATGCCAAGTACAATAACCTCCTCCTTTTCTGCTTTTCTACTAATTTTATGTGCACAGCTCTGTAAAAAAGCCATTGCTTATAAATCCATATGAGAACAACTTAAGAAAATGTATGTAGGTTGCTTATGCTAATGTAGATGTTCATGTTTGACAAAAGAGCTGTTAAGTTATACATACCTTCTAATCAGCATCCCAGTGAAAATGTTATGTTCACATTGGTTTACAATGTGATACACTGACATGGGCCGTAGTACTTATCTTAAAGATACCATTAATCTACTTGTACGATATGTAAAGAAAAAATTCCTAAAAATTAATAATATCTTCATCCACCATTAAAATGTACTTTATATTGAAAATACGTAGTACTCCTGAGTGCCGTGGGCAAATTTGATACAGAATGCTATAGTTGAAGCCTACCTCCTTCCACAAATGAATCTCACCATAGGGAGACTTTTCCTCTCGACTAGACATTTGGCACCATTCGGTATGCGTTCATTTCCAACGCATGTGGCCTTCGGAAGGTAAAAAACGGGAACTCAGCTGGGTTGCATGTGGGAATGGCCAGCAGTGTTTTGGGCTCTTCCACACCTGTAGAAAGAAGCTGAGCCCTGGAATAACTGACCTGTCAGGTGAGCGGGAATGACGTTCTCTCTAAGCAGGCAGCAAGGCAAATGAGAAAGCAGTTTTCAAAAGTGTTATTTTTCAATGCACCACAACACTGGTGAACACGTGGTTGGATTTATATCATTGTGCCCTATGTTGGAGCAATGTTATCATATAGAGGAATAATAAAGAGTGGTATCGTGCTACCATGTCTGTGTATATCCAATATCTTGATGCAAATATGGTCATACCTCAGTGACAAATTTACTAAACGTGGGAGACTTTATCAATAGGCTTTTAAAATATCTTTTACTGTTCAATTGTACATATGTTCAAAGGATTAAACTCTAGAGTTACGAAAGCATTGATCTTTTTACACAGAAATCCTTTAATGCCACAAAATTCTTTGATTTTTGTTTCAACTGGTATTTCATTTTGTTTTTCCTACTCAGAGATTTACTGAAAATTGATAAAATTCCTGTAAATCAGTATTTTTCAGCTCTCAGATAGACTGGAGAGCAGATGCTGCAGTCTAAAATCAGAAATTTTTTTCTCACTCATCTTTTCTCAGTATGATTATAATTAGTTATAGGAGAAACCATAAAGAATGAGATGTATAGGAAATTAAAACCTATCCATTTCACATCTGACCCAACATGAACTGTTTTCATTTATAACTTCAGAAAGTCTTGCCCATCTATATAAGTTTTAAATCTTACGTTATGAGACTATGTATATGTTAATTATTTTTCCCAATATGAAAAAAAGTATATTTTCTTATATTGGTGAAATTTATTGCTGTGTTTCTAATTTTATTTATTAAACACAAAATAAAACAAAACAAAAAGACTGTCATTAATGACACCATTCAGAGAAAACATTTGATGACAATTTGAGGAATGCATCCTCTCAGAATACTTTTGAAAGGGGTGTTTTGTTTTGTTTTGTTTTTTTCCAGAAAGAGAGCCTATTGGAGTCAAAGAACCAAAGTTCTATAGCCGGACATCCCTGGGTTCAAATTCTGCTTTGGTGTTTGACTTAGACAGCTCTCTTCTTAGACAGTACTCTCTTCTTTCCTTTTCTGTAAAACTGAGATAAGAGTTGTTTTTACTTCTTGAGGTTAGTGTGATAATTAAATATGACACTTAGCTCAGCGCTGGGCATACAGAAAACACTCATTAGAATGTAAGTTGTTAAATTTATTATTGAGCACATATTAACACAGCTGTTGTATTTGCTTTAAATCTATCCATTATATTTAAAGGACATTAAAAAAAAACTGTCACTGTTGAATAATACATGCAAATTCAGAACTACTGGAAACCAGACCTCATGCTACTTATCCTCATATTCTATAAGCAGTATTAATGCACATCAAGACTTACAGTTTGTGTTTATTCTAATTACTTCCTCTGCAGCCCCAAGTGCCCCTCCACAATCTGTCACTGTGCTGACAGTTGGAAGCCACAATAGCACAAGTATTAGTGTTTCCTGGGATCCTCCTCCTCCAGACCATCAGAATGGAATTATCCAAGAATACAAGGTAGGGCCTGAGTGAAGAAGAAAGGCTCACAGAGAAGCTTCTCAAAGAAGTCTCAGTGTCACATGCGTGAAGCATGTCTCCAAAGGCTCTCTGATTGAGTCTGTGTGTAACGTAATTTTTATATTGTTTTATGACAGGTAAAGAAACAAATGCATAAGGAGTTAGAAACGAACCCCAAGACGCAGATAACACAAACTCACTTGGACTAGTAAACCATAACAGTGGAGTGTTTGGTTTTTGGTCTTTGGTTTTTTTAGTATGGCATGATTTCAGAACCTCAAAGATTTAGAGAGATTGTGTTCAAGAGTGGGTAGTGAAACTCTCCTTCCAGAAACTTCCTGTATCATTGTTATTAACTTTCTTTGTAATGGACCTTAGCAGGGATATGTTTAAACTGTGGTCTCATGAAAAGATGCTTCCAAGGTTTAGAAAGTTGGAGGCGGAGGCTCCTGATAAATTTGTTGCTGTTTAGAAACAGTGTACATCCATTGTCTTTTTGCCATCGTTTGATGTTTAAGAGACAGAAGAAGTCTAACTTTGAGAAATAAAATTTTGATTAGCTGTGATGTGATTAGAACACATGCAACAGTAAAACACCTCATTAAACCTTATAAAAATTCAAAACTATGATTTTTGCTATTAATAGTTATTTATGGAATTTTGAAAATTAACATGCTAGATAGATCTATTAGAATAGAAAACTAGACACCCCACCTCACCCCAAAAGTTTATAGCTGTTATGTAAAATGAAGCTGAATAATTGCACTGAAATCATTGCAGATTGAATTCTGTTATTTCTAATAAAAAATAATAAATTCAAAATAGAATTTTCCTAAGTTAAAGGTTAACTTACTGGAACAAGCAATGTACAGAAGCACTTACTCTAAAATTATTCCCATCACTTTATAAAGAAACATGTGTGTGAAATATAAGTTTTACAATAGCATAATTATAATTATAAATATATATATTATGTTTTACAAGGATTAGAGCACATCGTTTTAAGAGCAAAGTATGATCTATTCTTGTGCGTGCGTGTGTGCATGTGCACGCGTGTGTGTGTGTGTGTGTGTGTGTGTGTGTGTTTTAATGAAGTTAAGATTATACTTATGTATTATCTGGAACTAAATTTAAGTAAAATTCCATTTACTTAAATACTGATTTTGATTATAACATGATAAATTTTGTCCTAAATTGTAACCTTTCTCACTCATATGAGATTGCCTTATTTTGGTAACAAAGTGTATATTTTGGTGAGGCCTAAATATTCCTACATTAGTAATTTAGATATCATTGTGCAAATAAAAGAAATATACACTTTGCAAGAATTATTTTAAATAAAAAGTCAGGAATTTACCCATTTCAGGAACAAACTATGTGTGTTCCCAATTATGTGTCTATATGTAGATTATGAAATACTGTGTGTTATGAATACAAATATATGTTCACAGTGTAATTCTTTTTGTAATGCATTTGACAGTAACAAATCCCCATTATCTCAGAAAAAAAGTATGCCTTAAAATGTTATTATTACTTGTGGTAAAAGCCTAGGTTCTCTCACATCAGTGTTTAAAGACTTTTCACCACTTTGTTCTCATGCATGTGTATGTGTGTGTGTACATATGTTTTGATCAATATTAAGATTTATTACTGTCGATGTAAATACTGGCTTTAATTTCATCTCAGTCAATACTTATAACTTAGGTCAATTAATCTTGTTAACTACTTCTGGGTAAGTTAATATTTTCTTAAATAAAATATAAATTACTTAGTTGTGTGCCTATATACCTTGGATATTACAACTCATAATCATTGTATTTTAATAGATTATATGCATAATAAATCTTGATAAATAAATTAAGCAGAGGAGTTTATGTGTTTTAATCCATACCCGAATGTTGTGTGTAACCAAAGACCATTTTACAGAAGTGTTAAAAGAATCATTGTGTGATGAGCGTTCAGTGTTGATTATAAGGTATAAAGGAACATGGCATAGTTTTAGCTTTCCTTATTGTTCTTCCTTTTTTTATTATTTTTCTTCCTTTAATACACACACACACACACACACACACACACACACACGCATACACATATATAAATAAACTGCAAAATTAGGCTCTCGAAAATGTCATTTACAAATATTTCTATAAGCCTAGAGAATAGATTGGTTACTACTCAAAAATATTTCATCAATTTAACAGAAAGGATAATTTTATATTCTTTTGTTATTCACTTTACGTTTTTATAGATCTGGTGTCTGGGGAATGAAACGCGATTCCATATCAACAAAACTGTGGATGCAGCCATTCGATCTGTCATAATTGGTGGATTATTCCCAGGTATTCAATACCGGGTAGAGGTTGCAGCTAGTACCAGTGCAGGGATTGGAGTAAAAAGTGAACCGCAGCCGATAATAATTGGTAAGTACCAGTGTGTGTAGGTTTTTTTAACCTATATCCTAAGAGTGGATATGCAGCAATGATTGAGAGGGTGCCCTCATCACATAGGCAAATAGGCTGACTCACTAGGGCTTCTTGAAGAAATCATTAGCAATTTCTTGTGCTCTTAAGATTCCCACAAACTTCTTTAAATTATTAGCACTAAGTCTTTAAATGCTGAAAGTTAATTTGAAAATAATTTTCAATCAGTAATTTCATGAATAATATTGATGCCATTGAAATATAATAGGAAATGAGGCAGTTACTGAAAAAAAATGCATTATATTTCAAACCTGCATACTTCCTTTTAGCCAGGAAAATGTCAAAATTTAACCAGAAACATGCCAGAAGAAACTTTTTAATCGGAGGATATTATCCTGGAGAAGAAATCCCTATTTTTTTTTTTAAGTTTACTTATTTATTTTGAGAAAGAGAGAGTGAGAGAGCTGAAGAGGGCAGAGAGAGAGGGAGATAGAGAATCCCAAGCAGGCTCTTCCCTGTAAGGGCAGAGCTCCATGCAGGGTTCAAACCAACAAACCCTGAGATCATGACCTGAGCCGAAATCAAGAGTCACACACTTGACCTCCCGAGCCACCCAGGTGCCCCCACGAAGAAATGCCTATCAAATCTATTATCATCATTACAGAACATTTTTCCCTAGTAGCATTGTGTTTGCCTGTTCTTGAAATATATCTAAGTGGAATCAGACAAAATATAATAATATGTGTCTAACTTTCACTAAACAATGTGTTTTGAGATTTACCCAGGTTTGCAATTCATATGTGTTATTTCTGAGCAGTATTCAGTCTGGTGAATGTATCATGTTTTGTTTCTCTGCTTTTCTCCTGAGAGAGTGAACATTCTTGTGTAAGTCTTTTTGAGTACATACGTTTTTATTTCCTTTAGAGAAACATTTAGAAGTGGCATTTCTGGGTAATAGGATTGACATAGTGTATAAAAACCTGCAAACACTTTTTCATATTGTTGTATAATTTTATACTCTCATTAACAAAGAATATGACTTTCACTTTTTGTACATCTACATTATTTGAAGTTGCCAGTCCATAATTTTAGTTATTCTAATGAGTTTAAAAGACTACCTCACTGTTGTTTAAACATCAATATTCTTTGATAGCTTGTGATGTTGAACAATTTTACATGTGTTTATTGGCCATTTGCATATTTTCTTATGTAAAATTTCCAAATCTCTGCCTTTTTAAAATTGTATTGCTTGTCTCTTGTTACTGGGTAGAAGAAGTTATATTCTGAGTACAGATCTTTGTCATATATTTGTATTGCAAATATTTTCTCCTGGTCTATGCATTTATTTTCTTAATAGTGTCTTTTGATCAGCAAATTTTTAAATTTTAGTGAACAACAATTTAGCACATTTTTCTTTTATGTGTAGTGCTTTCTAAGAAATTGTGTCTTACCTACAGATACCAAAGACATTTTCTTATATTTTCTTCTAGCAGCTTTATAATTTTAGCTCTTATAATTATGTGTATAATTCATCTTAAAGTAATTGCATGTGGTTTGAGGTTTGAGGCTTATTTATTTTAATAAGTATATCATCCCATGGTTTATTAAACTTTCCCTATTTGATTTTTTATACTATTATAAGTATGTTTGTAAAATTTCCTTTTCTAACTGTTCTAAATTATATATAAAGTTAATTTTATATATTGCCCTTTTATCTTTTGACCTTATTCACTTCACTTATTTATTTTAATAGTTGTGACATATTTTTCTGAGTGTATTCAAGTAATATTCTCTTTTCTTATTTGTTTTAATATGGTAAATTCTATTGTATTGTTTTAAAGGTGAATAAATCTTGCACTTGTTTCTGGGTTAAATCCCTCCTGGTCAAAATATGTTTTTTGTAGATACTACTGGATCTAATTGCTAACATCTGGTAAAAAAAAAAAAAAAATTGCATCCATGTTCATGAGGGATATTGATCAATAGATTTATTTTCTTCTAATGTCTTTGTCAGGTTTTAGAATCAGAGTATTTAGCTTTATAAAAGGGATTGGGAAGTATTCCTTTCTCTACTATAGTCTGTAAGAGTTTTTGTAGGCCTTTTAATTATTTTTCCTTAAATACTTTGTTGAAATCAGTGATAATATCTGTGCCTAGAGGTTTTTTTTTTTTTTTTGTGGATTCTATTTATATTTATGAATTTACATTTATTTAGAATTTTATTAGTCCTGTATTGGTTGTGATAAATGGACATTTGGTTTTGAATTTGTCTAAAGCATCTAAGTTGTTGAATTTATAATTATATGCTTATTTGCACTACCTCTTTATTTATAATACACTCAATTGTGATGATTGCAGGATGTGTGGTAATGTCATCTCTTTTATGCTTAAATGATGAGAATTTGTGTTCTCTTTTTTTCCTCCAATTTTTTTTTTTTTTGCTCCCTCCCCTTCAATTTCAAGCTGTCTTGATATGGATTTATCAATGTTATTAATCTTTTCAAAGTAGAAACTTTTGACTTTGCTATTTTCTTTCTGATTAATTTCTGCTCTTTTTTCTTCTACTTACTTTTATGTTGCTTCTTAAGATGGATATTTATATCAATGATTTGGACCTTTCTTCTTTTCTAATATGGATATATAAAGTTATACATTTCTTGCTAAACACATGTTCAGCTGAATCTTACACATTTTGAGGTGTTATGTTTCCATTTATCACAATGTTGAAAATACTTGTCACTTCCCCAAAGGACTTTTTTTACTTTGTAGAGGTTATTTGGAAGCATATCATTATATTTCCAAATGTTTTGGGATTTTTCAGATAGGTTTTTCTTTATGATTTATAATTTAATTCCAATGAGTTCAGGGAATGTATATTGTATGAATTTAGCCTTTAAATATGGAGACTTATTTTATGGCCCAGCATTTGGTCTTAATGAATGTTCCTTGTGCACTTGAAAAGTATGTATATATTTCTGTTCTACAGTGGAATGTTCTATATGTGTCATGTCAGATTAGTTGGTAGTATTATTTAGGTCGTTACTGATTTTCTACCTATTGATTCTTTCAATCAATAAGAAAGGAGTCTGGAAATTTATTGTAATTAAAGATTTGGGTATTTCTCATTTCCATCTATACGTTTTTGTTTTTTACTACTCCTTTTAAGTGAATACATTTTAGGGTTGTTATATCTTATTAATGAACTTACCCTTTATCACAATGGAATGCCCCACTTTATAAGCCAGTAAGATCTTTTTCCTGAAATTTAGTTTGTCTTATATTAGTATAGCTATACTAATAGCTAATTATCTTATAAGTGTTTGTATGGCTTGTGTTGTTTCCATCCTTTTACAGAGAAACTGTACATTTCTCTTATTTAAACTTCATGTTAACTCTTTTTTAAATTCAATATGACAGTCTTGGGGCACCTGGCTAGCTTAGTTGGTTAAGCATCTGACTTCAGGTCAGGTCATGATCTCATAGTTGGTGAGTTAGAGCCCTGCATCAGGCTCTGTGCTGACAGCTAAGAGCCGGAATACTGCTTCAGATTCTGTGTCTCCCTCTCTCTTTGCCCCTCCCCTGCTCATGTGCTCTTTCTCTCTCTCTCAAAAATGAACATTTAAAAAGTTTTTAAAAATATGACAATCTTTTAATTGGAATGCTTACACCATTATCTTTAATGTAATCAGTGATGTGTTTTGGCTTAGAATTACCATCTTGCTATTTGTTTTCTATCCAACTCTATTCCTGTTTCCTAAGTCCCCAATTTCATTTGGATGAATTAAATAATTCTCTATATTATAGTTTATATCCACTATTTTTTTAATAATGGTTACTCTAGGATTTGCCTATAAGGATCTTAAAAAATATAATTCCATTTTCCTTGCTCTCAATATTTTTCTATTGTTAAAATTTTACTCTTATACATATAACAAACACCAATATACAAACTAAGGTATTACTTTTTGCTTCACTTTAAATCATGAATTCTCTTTTAAGTAAATTAAAACTAAGGAAAGTATTTTATGTTACTCATTTTTTTTCAGATATTTTGTTCCATAAATTCAATTTCCTTAATGTCCCTGAATTCCTCTATTTCTTTAACTTAGCCACATTTGACCAAAAGCTATGAAAATAATATGATCTCCCTTGTTTATTTCCCTTTTTTCACAATGCTTCCCTTTTGTTTTACATATTTGCTTAGTTTTCTACTTATTTATGGTGAGATTACATGTCCCATACCTGTTATTTCTTTATGGGCAGAAATGAAAATATCCAGTGAATTATTAATTTTATATAATACACTTTTGTGTTCTACTATTTCCATTGTTTTTCTTTTACATTTTCATCCCTCATATATTCGTTTATAATGACTCTATTAATTTAAGTCCATGAACATATTGTAATAGCCATTTTAATGTCCTTGTCTCCTAATTTCAACATGTGTATCATCTTATGGTCTGTTTCTATTGATTACCTTTTCTCTTGACCTTTGGTCATTTTTTTCCTGTTGTTTGTGCCTCTTTCTTTCTTTCTTTCTTTCTTTCTTTCTTTCTTTTGCTGTTATTTTGCTTGTTTTTGCATGTTTAGTATTTTTTTACTGTATACTAGATATTGCAGATGCATACCATAAAATTTTGTGATCTTCTAAAGAAAGTTGGGTTTTGTTCTAAAGTAAGTTATGTTACTGGCTGATCATCTTGATCTTGTGGTGGTTTGGATTTTACATTTGTTAGTATAGGGCTGTTTATATTTGACCTTAGTCTCAAGCAAAATCTCAACATGATCTTTTCTTCTAAATCATGGCTCTCAAGAGGGTTCAGTGAAAAACCTAATATGTTTATCTGTTTTCCCAACTTGATGAAATTTGAGGTTTGAACACAGTCTTTGCAGTGGACATCTGTTGAAAGTCTGTTTAGCCTTTTCAGCTTTCTAGCTTTTGATTTTCATGAGATGTTTGGAATGTTCATTCTTCATGCAACTAAGGGTTAACCTTAGGA